GTCAGTATAGGGAGCCCAGCTGTAGATGCTCACATGTAAATTTTTATTGTTGGTATCTGGGTTATGAACACAGAGTTGATTGGAGATTTCTCGCGGGAGCTTTAATAAACTGAGTTTCTACAGTAAGTGGTCAGCTTGGGTGACACAGTGTGTGAGTTCGATGAGATATTCTGGTAAGTGTAATGATGAGATTCTCCTTCCATTAAATTATTTTGAGGCGGGTCAAGCAAGTTGATTCTTCAAGTCTCTATCTTTTTAAGGGTAATTCAAATCCCTATCTGTTCCTCTTTATGGCTGATGGTCTTTTGAGTATTTTGAACTACGAAATAGGGGTAATACATTATCTCTAACAAAGATTGCAAAAATTAATCACGGAGTTTCCATCTTGCTCTTCGTTGACGACAATCTCCTCTTGTTCAAGGTCATTGTTGAGCAAGCCAATCAAGATTTTTTTTTACTGTACCTGGTATGAGAAGCGGTACAATCTCCTCTTATTCAAGGTCATTGTTGAGCAAGGTAATCTAGGTTTTTTTTTACAGTACCTGGTATGAGAAGCGGTACAATGTCCTCTTGTTCAAGGTCACTGTTGAGCGAGCTAATCTAGTTTTTTTTGAGTTCTTTTACAGTACCCACAAATAAATGTGAGCCATCCATTTACTTAAATCGGACGGATACCAGTGTTTGGTACTCCAATATAGATGCACGGGAGTACCATGACCAAAAGTTCAGCAGTACCTTGATTTGAGAGGTAAATTAGTAATCGGGACTCACAAAATATTGTACCACCTGAGGTTGTTATTTACTTCCCCGCTAATTATGGGTACGTGAGAGGATGATATGTAATCCTCCACTAATTACGGGATGGGATAGATATCCATTTGCACGAACTACCCGAGGATTTCGGCCAGAATCACACTATGCATCAATACTCGATCGTTGCCATCCTCTACAACTATGAATGAGACATGTACAACCCGAAAGAAAAGCGAAGTGGTGAACATTAATAAATAATTGCTTTCAAACATGCAACTGCTTGCTCAACTAGATCTGAGAGGATAAATATGATTTGGTGGAGTAATCAGATCAAGCAGACGTCCAAAAGGCCTCGCCGGCGACCAAGGTTGCAATTAAGTTTTCATCTAGGCGCGTTGGCGGCGGTAGATGCATGCAGAGTGGTATGTGGAAGGAGGCAACCATGGTCGTGCTTGGTTGCTCGATCATGGAGGCCGCAACAAGTGCTTGAGCGAGACTTCGGGAGGGAACCAGAATAGAGTTTAAGAAAATAATAATTACAGTTACATAAGCAAGACAAAAAGTCTAAAGTACCCTTTTGAATGAAGGGTTAGATTTAACTAGTACTCCTTCCTCTCCCTGCAGAAAAAGCACGACCAATTTAATGTTGTTTTTAAGGTTTCTTAGTTCAATCTTATTTTCTTACATTCGCATACGGACTCTTGACGGCCCGTTTCTTCTAACACATGCCACATATACTCTCTTGGGAGGTGGAACGTACTTCTTTATTTCTCCAGGCTTCCTCAAAAAGTATTTTAGATTTCTGTGTTGTGGACTTTAAATGTTACTTTTCCTTTCGTTTCATCCACTGCTGCACCTACAGTATTAAGAAAGGGTCTCCTAAAAATAATAGATAATTTTTCATCTTCCGGCATATCAAGTATAACAAAATTAGTAGGAATGTCATGTTGATCTGGCCTTAATAGGACGTTTTGACAATCCTACTTGTTGTTTAGTAGGCTGGTCTACCATCTACAATGTTATAGCAGTAGGAACATATGCTCCCAAATCTAAAGCCTACTATCTACAATGTTATAGCAGTAGGAACATATGCTCCCAAATCTAAAGCCTACCATCTACAATGTTATAGTAGTAGGAACATATGCTCCCAAATCTAACTCTTTATAGAGCGAAAATGGTATAACACTTACCCCCGCTCCTAAGTCGCATAGACCATTATGAATATCCATTGTGCCGATAGAGCAAGAGATTTTCGGTATACCTGGATCCAAGTTTTTTAGGCATCTTCTTATAGTAGTCACGAGCTCCTTTGGAACAATGCTCTTTTCCTTATTAAGGATATCTCTTAAGAATTTAGCACAAGTAGGGATTTTCATAATATCAACAATAGGTACTTGCATATGAAGATTTTGTAAGGCTTCCGTGAAAGAACCATAATTCTCATTGTTAGAATGAGTTTTTGCTGCTTTCGGATATGCGAGAGGATTTTTTTGCTTTACCTTTCTCTTTAGCTCATGTGGTAGTTACAATATAATCTGGCGCTTTCCTCTTGTAGAGGCTTGTCATGCTTCTCTTTTCCATTGTTTTGAGCCTCTTTTTGCTCTCGAATCATTTCCTCCCTATCTCTTGTGTCCGTTGTCTTGCTGTCTGAATCAGTTTCTTCAATATCCTTAGTACCTTCATCTTGCTCATGCGCATCTTGTTGAGGAGAGCCCTATTCAGCTATAATTTAGAAGATCTTCTTCATCTTGACTTTGCTTTTGACTTTCTCTCCTCCTCTGAGTTTGTTCTTCTTCATACCAAGCTGGTCCCTTCGTATCCTACGTGCTTTTACCACTTCTGGTAGTAATGATATTAGAAGAAACAAAGTTATATTTATCATATTGACCCAGAATTAAAGATGAGTTTCAATAATTTGTTCACATTGAGCTTCAATCATGCGAGAATGTTTGTCAAGATTTTTCACGACATGACTTAATCCGTCACCCTTCAGTAAGGTGAGATATAATTTTCTCATTCTGATAGATACTTCTATTTAGGTCTTGATTAAAGTCTTCTTGATACTGTCTAAATTTATTAAACGACTCATAAAGTTCATCTTTCTATTGGTAGAGACTAAATGGATTTATACTTTTATTCCGAAGTAATCATGTAGGCTCACCTTTTTCTATTATCACCTCTCTGAATTCTTCCATATCTTTGACATGATAGACTTTCCTTGGATTAAATTCAGTAAGCTCTTCATCGTACGATTGTACTCTCGTAGTCACTATTGTTTAAGTGAAGTTTCTCCTTCCTTCATTGTCAAGGACATGAACACTCCACCTACACTAATGTCAAGAACAAGTTTAGATTCACCACTCAATCCATCATAAAACATTTGAAGTATAATGTGTTCGGCAAAGCCATGGTTTGGTAAAGAATTATGAGTTTAGAAAATCTCCCCTAAACTTCAGATATGCACTCTCCAATATTTTGAGTGAGAGCTACTACATCCTCTCAGATTGGCCATCTTGGAGTAAGGGAGAAACTTCTACATAGATCTACCAATGCAACCCTTCCAACTGGTTATGCAATTATGTGGAAGCCTGTCAAACCATATCCCTTAAAGTTTTTCCACCTTCGGGCTTATAGTCATGTCTGAATACAAAAATTTAATGTCGATAATACTAGACCTTTTAAGTTTTTCTAGTAGTTTTGGACTCTCTCATGTCAGGAATCTATCAATATAGTCTCGCAGATATTGTTTCCTTGAACGTATATAACTCCTGTGTTAAACAGTAAACATCTATAGTAATAATAATATCTACAAATTAGTTAAGAAACCAACACTCGATGCTTAGCTCCCCGGCAACGGCGCCAAAAAATACTTGATGTCCTGCAAGACACACATGGCTAGTTACCCAACTCTCTCGTGTAAGTGTCCCAATATAGCATCGTTCCCACAACGAGCAGGATGCAAGTGTTAATGTGAATGTCTCTATCACACACGAGTTGTCACAAGTCTCGCGTGAATTGACTATTTTGTTATCTGCAAGGATTACAATGGTGACGGAAGACAAATGATTACAATGTAAAATAAATAGGCTAAAACTAAGACTGCAAGCACAGGACAGAAAAGTAAAGAACGGGAAATAAACTGCAATTTTCCTGCAATACAGAAGTTAGGCACAGAGAAATTTAGGTCATGGTGAGTATAGAACCCTTGAATAGCCAAACTCCTCTTGTCAGGATTGTTTGATTCTATTGTCCTTCCTTCCGTTACCATTTGCAATGGTCAACTCGGTAATTAAGGCCATTAGACCGGACCAATGCTTTAAATATCGTGGCTTCCTGTTATTCCCATATTATCTTGGCTCCTCATTGATACCAACACACGCCACCTGAAGGTCACAATTCACTAAATACTTGTGTAGGTCTTGGGATCATGTTGTTTGGCAAAGGGTGGGCCTCTCTACTCCAACATCAATCGATTACCTTTGGGACTAGACTACACCGCTAGCCTCCAATCCTGACATATGGAGCCTCATTGTCATATGAATGCTATGGAAGATATGGGAGGCAAGAAACACCAAGGTTTTTCATGGGAAAGACATTAATTCGGTCATCTCCATACGATGTACGATGTACTGATGATCTAGACCTCTGGACACATAGACTTAAAAAAGATTCTCATAAGGAGTCCACTTCCTTGTGTTGGCATTCCTCCCCTCAGGCTTGCGCATTTCTATGTAATTCTGGTGAACTTGGGTAGTTGCTCTTGAACCGACTACCCCTTTTGAGCAATATATTTAGGTGGGGGACTCCACCCGGTGATTCCTCAATTTTTTTACTTATACAGTCACTAATGCTCTAACCATTACAAGGTTCATGCACACGCCAACGGATGCCAGACATACACACGAGCATGATCCTAATCCCATGCTAGAATTACGAAGACCGAAGATAAATCAGCTTTCAGTGAGAAAATAACAACATTTCATGGTTTTGAGACTTGAGGGTCAGGGATAACTAACATAGAGTTGATGACCAGACATAGACTTTGACAACGCTGAGGGACAAAAGGAACTTTTCTATATTTATTTAATTTACTTAATATTATAATAGTAGAATCAGGTATATCACTACCAACTCTCGATTACATAACAATAGAGCTTATGTAGAGTCTGTGAATCCTACTGCTTGTACTATATATACATACACATTACTTTATTGCGGCAAGACGGATTGCACACTGCCTAACGTTTTTAGAAGTTTAAGAACTTGATGGAATAGCCAAAGACGAAGAAGATGACAATGATATAGGCAAAGTGGGCTAGGACAACATAGCCAAGGAAATCATGCCGCACGCCCAAATTATCCTCCAAGAATTGCTTCACCACCACAGGGCTCCCACCGGGGACTAGCAGAGAACCGCCATGGTCACCAAACTGCGATGCAACAACACCATAGATGGTCCAAGACACTGGGTTGGCCCAGTAGTACCACCTCCACCAAATCGGTATCGCCTGCAACAATAAAAACAACAACCATCCATACATCCATCACAACAATCCTTAATCAACGAATTTGGTTAATTGGCACGTAACACGGTTAATCTTAGCTAGCTTACCGTTCTGACAACGAGGAACCCAGCAAACAGGTTCCAGAGAGGGAGTACAAAGGATACGAGTATGCTTGCAAGCATCGCAGACGGAGTCAATGACACCAACATCATGCCAAACAATGTGAAGTAGTTGAAGCTTGCAATAATGAAGAACATGAAATAGAAGAACTTGTCAACTTTCCAGTCATATCCAATCATCACATAGATGAGGATTGTGTATAAAATCCCTTGGAGGATGTTGTAGATGACCTCCATGCATGCCTGCACAAATAAAAAATGAACAATTTTAAGAATGGATGGATCTAAAACTTGTTTATATCTCAAATTTTCAGCAGACCACTTCAAAGAGGAGCTATATAAGGTTAAAATGGTTCACAAACAAAATCAAACCTTTCATCGCCTTTACTTTCTTAAAATCATCAATTTATTAATGTTATAAGTAGGCCGCTGTTAATTCCTTAAAAAAATCTAATTTTCCATCCTCCCTGATTTGGGGTTTCTAATTGTTCCTTAAGTTTTAGCTAAGTGACAATCATAGCAACTTTGGAACTTGCAATCCTTATATTTGGAATAGAATGTGCTCATACCTTCAGCTGAAACAAGCTCAGTGCATCCAAACTATTAAATTTCAATAAAAATGAGTATCAAATTGATAAAGAAATTACCTGAGCTAATGCATAGGATAATGGAGAGTACATCCCTGCCGCCTTTTCACGATAGAAAACTGTTCTCTCGATTGACACAACAGGCTGAACGGTGAAGCAATTGGTAGCCCCAAGGAAGAAGACAGCAGCATAAGTGGCCCCAAGTAGATTGTACAAGTCTTGTTGCGATTCTCTAGCCAAAAATTAACCAGATGAGAAAATATTAGTGCCTCCATAGAGTTAAATTAATGTATCATCTTCTCAAGCCTCGACTATAGCAAGAAAATAGGATCATACATTTTTGTTCCTTTTTGCCAAAACACAGTGCCAAATACAAGACCATCGAGCAACGTCATAAGATAGCGCATGGCATTGTAGGGTGGATTCTTCCAATAAGATTTGTATTGCTTCCAGAAGTTTGCAACACATTGATTGTAGAAATTTTGAGAATACTTTGTAGGAAATGAGAGATCCTGATAGCCTGGAGGGGGAACGCTCAATTCCTTAATAAGGTCTTGGTTTTTCCTGGCCATATTTAACAAATGTGAACTCGTGTGGATAGTATAAATGAAAACAACTGGCTTTTGGCGCTTTATTTCAAGAGCATATGTATTTGTTTTAGTGGAAATAACAATAACTAGTTAATAATGGTCAAAGGTTATGTTCAACGACTGGGGCTACTTACCTATGAAGAACGGAATTAGCATAAATTTCCGCAAAATCTATGTTCAAGTGAGCCTCAGCTAAAGTGGAGCTAACTTCCAGCATCCATGTTGCAGGATTATATCCTTTTGTGATCTTAGCCACACCTGGAATTTCCTGCAATGCAATGACAGCCTCATGGGTTAGTCGTACTTTTGCATATATGTTTGGTCTTTAATGACTTTTCTAAGCCCATTGATCGTATTTGTCAGTAGGCTATCTGTCCAACTGAAAACTAGTAAAATACTGGCTACCTCCAAACTCGATTGAATCAGTAAAATCTTGGCTGCCCTGAACTAAAACATGTAAGCAAAGAAAACTCACCTCGAAATATTCAACTAGTTTATCACAGTGACGACCAAGTTCACCAGCATAAATAACCCGCCCTCCTCTTTTCAAAAGCAGAAGCTAGAAAAGGAACCAGCTGTGAGTTATTTGCATTTCAAGAACTAACATAGTTATAAAAAAATTATATACAATATATACATAAATATCGCTAACCAACAGTCAGGTTGAAGAATATTTATTCTACACCCTCTGATTTTTACATCACCTAAATTGTACCTTATGTCAAAAGTCATGAAGAACATAAGAAAGTGTATACCAGACACTAAAGTGGAAAAAATGTAATTCTACACCGATTAATTTCTGTGATTTTACATTGTTATCTTGCATTTCTTGCTCCAATTTTTGTGTTGTAAATCAACATGAATGTAAATATTTGTATATCAAACGTCAATTCTGAAAATAATGACATCAATAAAACTCTGGGGGATGCAAGTATATATAATTATATATGTATTCTATTCTACCACAGGAAGTTATTACCATTTATTTTGGAGATGTACTGGAGGCACGGGAGGTTTCATGGCAGGAGGTTGGGGGATGGTAGCATGGGAGGATGACGGTCCATTCGTCGACATTTTGTGGCGAGGGAGGCTGGCGCCCGGCTCGACTGTATCTGGCGGTGCAAGAGGCAAGAATACGGGTGCCACGAGGTGGCCCGCTTCCGATGGACGGTGGTGCAGAAGTCTACATTGGAGGAGCAGGGGAAGTGCAAATACACTTCCATGATGGGTTCTCGAGGTTCTAGGTCCAGTGATTAGGCGGCCGGACTTGCAGCGACGAGTTACTCTGCTGGATTTCCTGGAGTACATGACTGAATTACCAATGGTAATGAGAAGTGCACTTCTCATAATGACTTATTTTGATGTACTTGTAGAGTGAACTTTATGTTTTTCAATACAGTGAATTGTGAGTAGTGAAGCTCTATATTCTTAATATAGTCAACAGACGCATTTTACGAAGAGTGAACTTCTGTTTTTATCATTTTTATATACTGAACTGCCTCTTTTATATGGTTTTGCAGAATCAACTTTTGCCTTTTTTTGTAGTGAACTGATATTTAGTAGTTTACAGGGCTAATTCTTCCTCTTTTTTAGTATATAGTGATTTTGAAAGTTGATGTGATTTTCATAGTGAACTTCTGCATTTTATTTTGATTGTACAGTGATCTGCATTTTAGTTGCCAGAGTAAGCTCCTCTCTTCAGTTGTTTTACCTAGTGTACTTCCATAGTTGACAGGGTGAACTTCTATTTAATTTTACCTTTTTGGAGAGTGAACTTCCTTTTTGTAGCATGAACTTGCGTCGTGCATATAGCGAACTTTTGGTTTTCCAAAGTATACTTAAAAGTTTATGATTTGTTTATCACTGAACTTTTTCTTTTTGTAGTAATTATGGAAAGTGGACTTCTACCATTTGGTATAGAACAAAGCTTTTAAGTTCGAACCTTTTTCTTTAAAATGTTGCAATTTAGTCAAGCTGACTTCTATGTTATATAGCACGAGTTTGCCAGCTTTAATGGTGCAACTAATTTTCATATATACTAAATTGTGGACATTCTAAGGGTGTACCTCTAATATGTGCAAATTCCAAGAAAGAGATAGAGGGGGGGGGGGAGCACGGGCGGCAGCCTCTTGACGACGTCGTGCCAGAGGACGAGAATCAGGGTGTTTAGAGGGCGGCACGTGATGGCTGAGGGGAGTTGGGTAGCCCGTGATGGTGGAAAGGGAGCTACTCCCTCCGTTCCTAAATATAAGTCTTTTTAGATATTTCAATGTGGACTACATACAGATATATATAGACATAGTTTAGAGTGTAGATTCACTCATTTTGTTCCGTATGTAGTCCATATTGGAATCTCTAAAAATACTTATATTTAGGAACGGAGGGAGTACTATTTTAGAGGAGTGGCGAGTTAGCAGTAGGAAAGTGAGATGGTGGGGAGGTGGCAAACAGCAGATGGTGGTGGGAGGCAGCAAGGTGCATTGATGGGAAGTGAGCGATGGCGAGGCAGCGACAATGATGATTTGATGGGTGGGTGGGCGGGGGCTGACGAGGGGAGGCAAACTCCGGTGCGAGGTGGCTAGAGATGGAGGTACCACCCACTGAAGCAGAGAAGCGTTGGGTTTGCATGGGAAGGCAGAGGACATTTTGCAATGGGTGTGCCCTTTTAGAGGATGGTGTTGTAGAATAGCTTATTCTATAATCATTTTCCTATACATGACTCATTTTCTGTACTCCTGGGGGTATGTACTCTCATATTTAATACACCTCTTACATGTATCTATTATACTTCTTAATATACCTCATTAACTTTTCTAAGATAACTTTCTAATATGCCTATCATCAGAGACCTTAGTTTTTACGATATACCCTTTTTACCTAAATATAATAAAATATATGCAGATAATATGAAGTATATGAACTCACATGATTCATCTATATGGTGTACAGGGAGAGGGAGTACCAGAGTACATACTCCCATGTGTATGATGGTTTTCCGTATATATGCGTGCACGCACCCACACACATATATACATGAGAGAGGTGGGGGGAGGGAGGGAGGAGCGAACCTCATCAAAAGACTCAAATATATCGATGCTCGGTTGATGGATTGTGCAAACCACGGTACGCCCGGTGTTGACTGTATTTCTCACTGTCCGCATGACAATTGCTGCGGCTCTAGCATCAAGACCAGAAGTTGGCTCATCCATAAATATAATTGAAGGATTTGCTACCAGCTCCACGGCAATTGTCAGTCTCTTTCTTTGTTCAGTCGATAACCCGTCAACTCCAGGGAGACCAACCATAGCATTGCGCAGCACATCAAGTTCTACAAGGGTCATGACTTCCTCCACAAACATCTATGTGGGTGAAGATTAATTTCTTCAGTCACCAAAAATATATAATTTGAAGTTCCAAATATATAGAACATCACATGTTTACTTGAGTATGAAGTGGCTTGAAATATATACCTTTCTCGTAGCATCATCAACATCTGAGGAAAGACGCAGCCAGGCAGAGTAGAGAATGGATTCATATACTGTAACATTTGGTGAATGGATATCAATCTGTTCACAATAGCCACTAACACGGACAAAAGTTTCTTGTTTTTTAGGGTAACCAGAAAGGGTGATACTTCCTTCAATAGCTCCACTGGTTTTCCTTCCTGCCAGGACATCCATTAGAGTGGTCTTCCCAGCTCCACTCACACCAACTAGTGCAGTCAGAACTCCTGGCCTAAATGCACCACTGATATCAGAGAGCAACTGGAGACGACTTTCTGTGAATCCTTGTTCCTTCATTTCCTGAAACACAAGGTGACACATTTTAATGTTAGAACTAAGTTTTTTTGTCCATATCAACAGATAAGTTTACCATACAAGTAATGAACTTATGTCATAATAAGATATGTGTGAGGAGGACGATAGGTAGGCTTACTGCAGGCATGTCGACCCAATAGTTTATATGGTTGAAGGAAAGTGAAAGAGGCTGGAAGGGCAAGGTAGTTCGTGACTGAGCTGGCCTATTTGTGGCTTCCTTAGCACCTGTAGAAACTGCAAGTGCAGATAGTGACTAATTAGTATTGTTATTAAGGCGTCAATCGACTTTATAAATACTTCATAAACTTGAGAATATTGTAGAGGCTGCAATAGTCTAAGATGGATACTTAAAGAAGACCTCACCCATAGGTATTGAAGATGGCATAATAGATGACACACTGGCTTCCGCCGTTTGCTCTTTGTTTGTGTCATTCTCATTCTCCACATCTGAAACTAGTGTGTTTGATCTACTACTAGCTGGAAGAAAACAGAGCATATGTAGTCTGTAAGTACCTTGCTCACTAAGGCATCAAACAATAATCTGAGCCAACAGAAAATAATGATACTCACGGTTCAAGTATGTTAGGGACAGAAGGTATAAGATGTTGAACAAAATAGTGAATCCTATAACGGCTCCTGTGGAAAGCCAAAAGCCCCAGTCTCCAGTAAACAATCCTCTGGATTTAAGAATAGCCTTTCCTACCGTTGGTGCATCAATAGTAGGATCATTGTTTGGCTGTAGTAAAAATGAAAGGCCTCGCATTAGTTGAGATGTTGCTGCCTTTACATCACACTAAGATATAATGAAATCCTCACTATCCGAGTTTAAAGAAATCAAAGGAAAAATAATACAGTGTTCTGAGAAAAACTTACAGTGGCCCACCTACTGGCAAGGAATTCATTGACCGATATTGCATTCTGACTATACATCATAGGAGATGCCCAGTAAGCCCAGATCCACCATGGTCTGATGTCACCTGTCCACATCAAAATCAGGGATGGAGAAGGTCACTTTGATCCATGCAAATGCGACACAGGTAGCTGATTTATCATGCCTAGATAGCGAAATATGAATGATTTTATCATGACAGTATGCTTACCTCTAGGGATGATAAATCCTCCAACTATGAAAATAATAAGTTGAACAAACATCCCAAAAGTGTTGGCAACAACCATTGATTTCAAAATAGCACCAAGAAATCGGAACAAAGCCATTGCCATTTGGTGAGTAACGAAGAAAGCTAAAAGCTGGCGAAAGAACCTATAGCGAGTAGATAGATGAATAATGGAGTTATCAATTAAAAACTTTAAAATGCAGAGAATAGAATGAGGACAAGTATTATTTATATACAGATGGATACCTTCCTGCAGAAGGTGCAAAGCCCATCACATAGTACGTGAGGACAACCCATACCCCAGCCTCCACAAATGAAACAGGAACTTTTAAGATGATGTTTGCCAGTCCAAAGGTCCATGGGGGGAAGAACAAGAAATCCCTTTGTTTGTAGAACGTAGGAAGGATTTTAATGGTTAGTTGTAGCTCAGCAAACCCATTAAACAAAATGGTGATTAAACTGAATGTCAGAGCTCCAAAGAATTTAGCACCGTCGGAAATCTGTCCATGGGGCATCTCTGTTCTGAGGAATACAGTCATGGCCATGAGCCCAAGGATGATCAACTGGCTGACCTTGAAGATGTAGATGAAGGAGTTGCGCTTCATCAATAGTTGTTCTCTCGACATCACTGCCTTGAATGACTCCCAGCTGGATTGCCCATACTTCGACGTGGTCAATGCGGCAGGATGGGTTTTGGATTTTTCAAAAGGAATCTTCAGTTCCTCCAGCATCTGTTGACCCACATGGAATGACTTGTAATGTTCAGCAAACTCTAGGACTGGCACGTAATGATACTGCTCCTGGTCAAGATACCAGTATTGTTGCTGGTCTTTCTTGGAAGTGACCTCTTGAAGGAAGTCAGCAACTCCTTTCCTCTCCGGGCACCGGAAACCAGCGGATTCAAAAAATTCCAAGATGTTCTCACCTGGCCCATGGTACACTATGTATCCTTCTGATAGCAGAATTATGTCATCAAACAAGTTGTAGGTCTCTGGCGGTGGTTGTAGAAGGGAGATCATCACAGTGTCATTCATCACATGGACCAAGTGCCTTACATATTTTACAATCTGAAACGTGCTAGAGCTATCCAAACCAGTGGAAATTTCATCCATGAACAAAGCCCTTGCAGGTCCTGTTAACATCTCCCCTGCCATCAACAGAAGTGAATATTAGCATAACATTAATTAAGTGAGATTTTCGTTTCCACGATGAGTTGGGCTGTGGAGGTTTTTTT